CGCGGGAACCCTGTCGCTCGTTCCCGAGACCTCGTTGTCGATGGCCACGGGGGCGTCTCCCTCCGCCATTGGCGTCATGTCGAACGCCGAATTGACGGCAGCGGTGCTCGACCTCAGCAAAAAGGTGGCCGGGATTCATGCGTTCCTTTTGGGACCGCAAGGACCGCAGTCGATCCCACCACCGCCGCCCACGTAGCAGCAACTACCGCTGCCACCGCTTCTGTAACAGAACCGACCAAATCATAAGAACGTAAGTACAAAAACAATCATCGAAGCGATCAAATTCCTGTACTTAAGCTTCCATAATCCCGGTAGTCCGGAAATCACGAAGGATTTCAACCAACTCTCGACATACAAACCAAGACCGTAGTGATTCAACACAACACATCATCCGTTACAACATTTCATAAGTAGCATTCAGATTACATCCATCAGAGTGCGAATAAAATATTACAAACCAGGTTCAAATTTGCGGAAGCAACATAGTTTAGTACATAACTTCATAGTTTCAAATATATTGCCAAGTCTGAGTCATGTCCCACAAAAGCATTATCAGGTACGAGAACTAGTAGAGACCGCGTCCAACGGCCTAGTCTTCATCCCTAGCTGGGAGAAGGCAATACTTGCAGCAACCAAAGTAGATCTGGTCATCTGCAACAGGTGGGAGATAAACCCTGAGTACGAGAAGGCACTCAGCTAGACTTACCCGTCAAAAACCAAAAATAAAAGACACCAAGGATCATGCAAGGCTTATGAGGTGGGCTAGCTTGACACAGTTGCATAAAAAGAGCTTATAATTATAGTAACCAATTTAAACTTAGCATCAAGCTTATCATCATTTACCTGTCCACTAGATTAACACCTGTACTAGAGCACTCACTTATTAGGAGCAACAATATTAACCATAGCAGGTATAATAAGGCTGTCATCATCATATCATCATTTCTGAACCATTATGTTATTTAGTGTATCTACATTGAAGATAAGCCCGTCAAGTTCTCACTAACCGGGAGAGACGGCGACTCGAATCGAATTACAACTCAACTGAGGGGATATTCCTAACTCTCACCTTGGCATACTTTGCAAGGGTAGCCGTGGGTCACCTTTGGAACAACTCAGGAACCAAATTCGCGGGTTCGATCAGCGTCAGCACTCTCAGGGATTACCCTTCTGCCAGGACGATTAGGACTTTTAAATCACCTGCCCTTGGACTCACGCCTACGGCTCCCTTCCGAGGCGCACTTTATACTTATCGACTCCCGGCCTGAGGTGAGCTACTCGTCTTCGTGGTCGGTCTCCAGACCCGACCAACTAAGAGAGAGACATGCGTTCAATATGAACAGGAAAGACTCCAAGATTCAGTCCTTAATCGACACAGACGGAGTCACTACAAACCGGCAAGCCTCCGTCCGGTCTTCATTTCAAATTAAGACTGGTTCTTTTCCACGATAGCAAATATAGCCAACCGTGCCATATGTATCTTCCTATATCTCGCAGGTGACAGGAAATCACCCGACTTCTACCGTGTTTAAGCAGGGCTAAGCACTACACGAGCCTGAGCTACATAGGATTTAGGGTATCAATATCTGAACAAGGATTGGATAACCAATGCAGCAAGTGTTTGCATCCAACACCTAAACTTAATGCAACAATATATATATGTAACAATAATACTGTAAATGCATTTCGGAAATTAGGAGGCTTAATATGCTCCGGGGCTTGCCTTTCACAAAGTTGCACGAACGGTGATCCGGGCACTCAACAGCGACCTCGTCTGGCACTTCTTCTGAAGGCTGCACCTCCTGAACCTCCAGTATCGGCTGCTGCTGCTCGCTCGGTTCCTCGAATTCCAGCAGGGTCACTCCTTTTGGTACACCTATTGCATGTCGATGCACAAGATAGATATCATGGATGCATAAGGAATGACATGATGCTCATGATGAATGAATCATAGTAAGTGTTTAACGAAAACATTACTGGACACTCGTTTACCGATTAAGAATAGATATATTCAAATCACTTTAAAACATGTATCTAACTTAACTTGAAGAACAAGATCAACTTACCTAACTTGCATAACCTAAGATAAAGATACTCATCTTCAGTTAAAGGCCTAACACCTAGGAACATTACCACAAACTTAGAAATAGTAAAGGCATACTTAAAACAACAGTTAAAGCTTCATATGCAAACGGGTAGTTCCTTAATTCAATCACAACAAGAGTTCTACAAATCCAAATAACTTGAAAGAGGACATTCTGGAAAGCTTATGAAATTCTCTACAAATCATTTGTAAACATCAAAGCATGATTCTTAAGTTAACCAAATCGAATTCCAGTAAACCTAGAATCTGTCCCGCAATGACAGGGTTACTAACTTAATTATTTAATGATGATGCAAAAGCCTAATTTGACCAAACCAAGTTTACCAACTTGTTACACATACCAGAGGAACACTAGAAAGTATAATGCCAACTTCTAAATAAATCATTTAATATCCTTTTCTAATTTATTTAGTTAATTAGGTGATTAAAGCAACATATAGTAAAACTGTTCATAAAAATCTACAAAAATTATAGTAGCTATCTCATGCTTCACATAGACTACCATAAAAATTTCAAAGCCATTAAGCAAGCAGAACTTGATGTATCCAAAATAACAGATGGCATGCCTATTTTTAGCATAATTAGGAAATCCTAATGAAAAGTGTCAAGCAATAGATTTCACATTTTTCCTAGTATCATTAAAGCATAAGAATAGCACTCACCAAATTTTACCTTTACTGGATCTATAGAAAAATTATGAAAATTCACACAAGACCCATCCATTGATAAAAGGAAATTCTATAACTCAAAAACTACACATGCACTAGCTCTAAAATTTTAACCAGAGCTTCTACTAAGCAATAATAGATTACCCACAAAATTTCATAATTTTTTGACCACAGAAACTCAAGATAAAATTCAAACAAGTTTGCATGCATCTAAAAACACATTTCAAATTACTATTTTATTCATCCAAAATTTCTAAAACATGTGCTCATATAATATTTTTATTAAATACTAGACCTTAATAGGAACTCAACAAAATTGGAACCATAGCATTTAGAGCTACCAATTAGGAGATACATATTTTTGAATCATGCACACAATTCTGTGAAAAACAAAATAACAAAACCAAAAACAAGAAAATCAACTTCGCAACTGGGCCGGCCCGGACAGATCCGGCGGCCCACAACTTGCGCAAACGCAGCCCAGCACTCGGTGCGGCCCAGGCTGGCTACCTCCTCAGCAGCGACGACTGACAAAAGGGGACCCGCGTGTCAGTGAGAGAAACAGGGGAGGAAGAACGACCGGTGGCGTAGTTCGTCGCCGGTGGCTTCTCCGACGAAGGCAACGGTGCCAACGTGTTCGCCTCACTCAAGCACACCTAGGGGAACCCTTTATTGTAGCTAACGACTCAGCTAGAGGGGGTGGTGACTAGCATGGCAGCGCACGGCCACGGCAGGGCCGGCTCCGACGATGCTACGACGTCGTAGCCCGATAAGCGACCCTACGAGCTTCGGTAGCACTCCTAGAACCTAGCGTGAGACAGAGGAGGGATGGCAAGGGCGCGAGGACCGCTGGCCGCGTGGAGCGCCAACTCCGGCGAGGGCAGCCATGGCGGCGGTGGAAGAAAACCTATGATTCGCCCTTACCGAGGCTCGATTGACCCGACAGTGAGGTGGAGAGGGTAGAGAAGACCACAGCGAGGCTACTGACGGACTGGGCAACTCGTTTTCGCGGTGGCGAATGCGCATGACGACGGCGACGTGCGATCGGCAATGGCGGAGCTTGCTGCGGACACGGCGCTGTGCGCGGAGAAGGCGAGAGAGGGAAATGGAGCGGTGAGCGCGTTCGGGCAGGCGCTGGCTTGAAGTGGAGGACACCGGGCAGTGGCTTCAGATCAGCCACGGCGCGTGGCAGCGCGATCAGCCGGCCGACGCCGAGTGTCACCCACGCGGCGCTTGTTTTCTGAACTCGGCCAGTCACTGTAGCGCGCATTCAGTCGACTTGAACCGCCTGACAACACGAATTCAACGCCTTAATACGGCTAATTCAATGATACTTTGCAAAAACGGTGTTCATGAAAAATGTAGATGTACCATCCAGCTACAATTTCTTTTCAAGGACCACGATCTAATTCGCCATGGATAAGCAGTTACATCAAGCCAAAGATGGCTCAATCACACTGAAATTACAGCCATGACTTAGAATATTTTCTAAGTGTGAAATCATCATGTAACTCTGACTTGTGGGCCAGATTTGAGCATGTTCCACCCATTTTCATGAGTTGGTCATAAAACAACTTTTGTTCCTTGATAAATTAGCTACAACTTTGGTAAAGAGTGCACAATCATGCAAGGTTTCTAAGTTGGTCTTTTGAAACAGTCAAACAGTGACACTCCAAGGGTCAATTCAAGTCAAACCTTCACTTGAGGGCATTTTGGTCATTTTGATCTACATGAACAATGTCCAACAAGTAACCTAAGTGTAGTTAAGGTGTAATAGACCATGATCAACCAGTTTACAAAATTGTTATACCTCTTCTAATGATCACATGTGATAAAGCAACTAAAACAAGCAATTCACTCATATGTTGCAATGCAATGTTTCACATGTTGCATGACTTTGTTGTTATTCTATACTTGTCACATTACTACCATGTTGCCATGTTTCAAGATATAAGAAACTCAGGTTGCATTCACATGTTACACCATTACTATTCACACACTCAAGTAGGAAACATACACAATTAGAAAATGTTGCATATGCATGTTTCAGTAACAAAGGCATGATGAGATAGATGATGCACATGTTTATGAAATGAAATGCAATTAGTGGAAGCCAAACACCTAGGGTGTTACAGCTTTCGGCTTGGATCGCCGGTTTGTCGAAATCTATCTACACGGCGCCTAGTACCCAGCCGCACCTACCGCCGCTCCCGACCACCGGGGCTATCATGGCGCGTGGCGGCGCCCTGGCTCCGGGCGTCCTCTACGGCGGGGTGGATGGCCCCCTGTTCCACGGCGGCAGCCTGATGCCGACGCTCTCCGCCGCGTCGCCCTCGCTGGACAGCACGGGCGCGGCGCCCTCGGCCTCCGCACAGGACCCACCGCCAATTGCGCTTAGCTGCGCGGAGGACCTCGATCTTGTCCGCTGCGTCGGGGATCTCGGTCATGCGGTTTCCCCCACGGGCGGTGGGCATGCTATTTTCCCTGCGAGCAGCAGTTGGGGAGGCGCATCCCTCCACCTCGTTCTCCATCAGAAGCCATCTGCTCTTCTCTATGCGGTGCAGACCAGCAGCCGTCTGCCGGGGAGAAGGTGTGGGGTCATCAACGAGAGCGCACCGCATAGCGTCGTCGCATGGTCGCTGTTGCGACCACTTTTAGATGGCCATACACATGCACCCCTTTCGTCTAGATGGTGTCCATAGGATCCAGGAGGCGGATGGTGTCCACCTTATGTTCAGGAGTAAAAAATAAAGAGTCATAGTCTATTTCAGGTTGAGAATAATAAAATAAGCCAAGATATAAAAGGCTTGTTTTAGGTGTTAGGAGTCGAGTCAGCGTTATAAGTTCGTTAGGTTGCAGCTCGAGGACGAGCTGCATGTCTAGGTGGGGTGTAGTGTTAGAGTACGTCAGGGGGCTATTGGGGCTAGGTTGGCTGTATAGCCCATTAGTGTTATGGTTAATTAGAGATAAGGGTCGCTTACTTAAGGGTCAAGTAAGCCTTGCTTGGAAGTCAAGTAAACCTCTCTATATAAGGAGAGGAGATGTATCGATCTAATGAAGCAAGAATTAAGAAGGAAATCCCTTCCCTCTTGCCCGGCCGTGGGCAAACGCCCCGTGGCCGGCTCTCTCTCACCCTCGCAGCCCTAGCCGTGAACAGTACCCGCGGGTACTGTAGCGCGTCAGCCGCCGTCGATCCCATCGCCTCTCCCTTCAATCCTCCAGCCACATAACAGTTATACTTTCATTTTGTGTGCAAATGTTTTCCTAATGCAGCATAAACCGGAGAATTTCTTAACATTGAATAGAAATATTGGACTAAAACATGTGAGCAAAAGTTTTAACTAAGGATAGTTCACATTTTTCTGTTACTGTCTGACATTAAGGTGGTTGCTCGGTTGTAATTATTCATTGCCAATTGTGACCCTGAAAAAATGTCACATCTCTAATCATAAACTATGTCAATTTGCTATGAGAACTATAAAATCATTATATATAACGAACACATTTACTATAATTTATTTATCCAAGCTTGTTCCTTACAATTCCTGGCGCTTCTGCTGTGGATGCCCTAGCGACATCTCCGGTGAGTTAATGCTATGATTACAAGGAGAATACAATTTCTATTTCTCAATTTAATCTGATTAGCTCCTGTAATTGTTACTTTTACGATGACCATTTCTGGCATTACATACATAACATGAAACTTGGTGTTATCGGGCTTGTAGGATGCAGGTTTAGAATGAAACCCTATACTAAGAAATGCAACAAATCACCTCACTCAGTTTGGTTGGAGGTAAGTTCATTATACACATACACTGATACTAGCTTGTTCCTTACAATTCCTGGCGCTTCTGCTGTGGATGCTCTAGCGGCATCTCCGGTGAGTTAATGCTATGATTACAAGGAGAATTTGATGAACAGAAAATTTTTAAGAAAAGAACGCTTCTGCAGCTGCAAACAATAGATCATTTCACTGAAAAGGTTAGCTAAAAAAAATAACAATTTCTATTTCTCAATTTAATCTGATTAGCTCCTGTAATTGTTACTTTTACGATGACCATTTCTGGCATTACATAACATGAAACTTGGTGTTATCGAGCTTGTAGGATGCAGGTTTAGAATGAAACCCTATACTAAGAAATGCAACAAGCCAACAAAGAAGACTGTTCAGCTCACTCAGTTTGGTTGGAGGTAAGTTCATTATACACATACACTGATATTAGTTACAAGATATTAATGACACTGATCAACCATTTGCTGTAATTAACAGGTACATTATACCATTCCTTAGTACTGATGAAACCTACAGAGTTGAGTTTATGTTCTTCGAAAACAGGGGAATAAAGTTGATTGGAAAAACTGCTGAAAATCTTCACAAGCAGTACAAACATATGAGATTCCACCTGAAATATCTACTTGGATTGGACATAAGTTCACTTATGTTGTAACAAACGGCTACTCTTCTACTACAAGCTCTCTTTTGGTGAAGAGCTTGACTTGGCAAGTTTAGCAGGAGCCCTTTTCCTGAATCCTAACATACTGATTGATGCACTTGTAGCCGCGAGTTCACCCACCGTGTGAAATCCGTCTCCGTGTCCACTTTCAGCACGCAAGAGGTCGAGGCTCTCCAGAAGGGCAGCGTGCCAAGGAATCATTCTTGAAGGACTTTGATACCCATAAAATGAGGCTACCTGACAGCAGGTAATGAGTAATTCAACCACTTTTATGTGTGTATCGTTTACTTATCAAACACATGCTCTGACTATAACCTATTGTTGCAACAACATTGGCAGGCAGTGTTAGGGAATTCATAAAAGCTGTCTATGTGGAGAGAACGTATGCTAGCGGTAGATCAAGAGATAAACAGATTCCATGGCGATAGTTCTTCCTAATTTAAACATAGCCCCCCCTGTAACCTGCCTGAAGTGTCTCTTTGGAGTTGGGTTATAGACATTTAATTTTACTTGGTAAAATTACACCAAAGGTAAGGTTATGGCAACACAAAATCATGACTGGTTAATAAAATCCTCCGTGCCTCCTGACTCCTGTAGGTATGAACTGGGCCATTGAATTATTTGAATTAGCTTCTCACAACATCAATAGCCTTCCTTCCCGATAAATTTCTGTGCTACTATCTCCCTCAATCTGTTCATTTTTTGTGGAGATTATGCTTGACAAAATCTCCCAAAGGAATAAACAATAAGAATTTGATTTAATTTGTAAACACCTGCCATAAGAATGGGGATGGCAACTCTACAGATCGAGGATTCCAGTTCCAGATGACCTTATCCGATTGACTGCCTGGTCTGGTACAAATGAAATGAGCTGATTCAGCTGCTGCAGCCACTAATTGCTAGTACTTCCCTGGTGTGCCTTGTGTAGGCTGTGATTGCATTTGCTAATTTAGCCTCGATCTTTAATGTAATCAGGGATTAGATTCTGTTTGAGAGCTAGGCGGGCTTGGCTGTTTGTGTTGTGTGGATATTGTGTTGCACTGAAGAGTTGTGCTATTAAAGTTATTAGACATTCGTGAGAAGATGATTCCAGCTCCTCCACGGTACTGTGCCTGTACTATGTTCACGTTGCGCATTTGCATCTTTTTTGATACAGTACTACTAGTGTGTTAGAAGTAGAAGATAAATTAATGTCACACATGGCAGTATGTCAGTATATTATATAAGAAATACAATATATAATAAGCAAAAGAATGTGTGAGTACAATAGATAACAATTTTGTCTGAAAAAGAATAGACAACAACTGCTCCGATCCATGACTCGTTCTTAACTACATTTTGTCAGGCTAGCCTCACGTTGAGGTGAAATGGGCCCGTTCGCTTCGCTGAAAAAATAAGCCGAAATACTGTTCCGGCTGATTCGTTGTGAGAGAAAAACATTATTTCGGCTGAAAAAACAAGCTAAAAAGTATAGATTATAAGACAAGCGAACATGGCCTTGGTTGTTACAATAGATAACAATTTTGTCTGAAAAAGAATAGACAACAACTGCTCCGATCCATGACTGGTTCTTAACTACATTTTGTCAGGCTAGCCTCACGTTGAGGTGAAATTGGTTGTGCAATGCTGTCGTTATCTATTAACAATCTTTTTTTGAAACAATATCTATTAACAATTAAGAACGCCATATGATTTAAGTGTCACGTAACTGCCTCATGCTTTATCATATTTGGTTTTAACAATCATCAGTAACAATGTGTCGGAACCAATACTAGGGTACTCGAAGAGGAAGAGCTAACAACCATCAACATTGATTCATCCGAGCAGTCAAGAGCGCGACTACAGCTCCAACCGACCCCCAGGTGCGCAGGCTCCACCTCGTCCGGCCTCTGAGGGCGGACTCCGCCTTGGCCGACCTCTGGGGGCGGGCTCCGCCTCGCCCGACACCGAGGCCGCTGGCTCCGCCTCGTCCGACCCTTGGGTTTGCGCTCCGCTTTCGCCCGACCCTTGTGTTTGCGCTCCGCCTCGCCCGCCCCTTGGGTTCGCGCTGCGCCTCGCCCGACCGCAAGGCCACGGGCTTCGCCTCGCCCGACCCTTGGGTTCGCGCTCCGCCTCGCCAGACCCCAAGGCTGCGGGCTCCGCCTCGCCCAACGGAGACCCATACGCCGCCAACCACTCCAGGTCCAAGCGTATGGGTCTGGGTCAAAGCTCTGACACCAGGGAAGTGACCGGCACGCTCTGATATAACCCGTGGCCATGACGGGCCATACTTGGGGACTCACATCAGGAACAACGTTGGGCGTACCGGTACTGTTCTGCCTAACCCTCGTACGAACACTGACAGACGCGTTAGTTCACCACGACGTCCGCCAGGACGGAGTGGAGCGCCACGACCGGGAGACGACGCCTGCGCATGGCGCCAGTGACAGACAGGTCCGCGACGTGGAGCTGTCCCTATTGACGTCTATAGGGTCGGCGGGACCCACATGAAGGAAAAGAAGGACTCGGCGATCCTGGAGGACTTCTTCTTCTCCTTCTTCTTTTTTCTCTCCGCTGTAACTCATGCTTTCCCTTGGCCTATAAAAAGGAGAGCAGGGCGTCCCATGAAAGGGACTCGAAGGCCGAACCAATCATAACACATAAATACACAGCCGAGCAGCGACCGAGCTCTCGACACACATTCATTCTTTCCATCAGAGACTTGGGATATGTCCCTCTCTCGCCCGTTTGTAACCCCTACTATAAACTTTCAGTGCTAGTAACACGAGCAACAGCTACGAACTAGACGTAGGGACATTCTGCCCGAACCAGTATAAACCTCGTGTCCTCTTAGCACACCATCCGAGCCAGATGCGCAATATTAGAAATTTACTCGTTGGTGTTTACTCGAAACACCGACACAATGATAGAGTCTTTACCAAAGATATGATAATAATAATAACAACATTGTCTTTTTGATTCGGTCGAAAATATATTTTGTTTACATAAATTGATGCCCACTTTCGAACTAAATAGAGGCAACTAAACATGCCATATTGGCATTGCCTATGTTTTAGCGCCTCGACGGATGGAGGTTCGGACAGACGGCGCGCCCGGACACACCTCCAGCGCCTCGCCCAAAATACGGAAACGAGCCCCGCCCGCGCTAGCGCGCCCTGCCCGCGTCCATCCCGCGCTCAGCGCCCCACGTCCCCGACGCAGCACCACCGTCCGCATCGCACCATGCCCACGGCCCCACGCCCCGCGTCCCATCCCGCTCCATCGCCGATGGACTCCGCATCCTGGTTGAGTTCGAACTGCCACGGCGAGATGGAAGGAAGGGAAGGGAGGGAAGGGAGAGGCGCGCCGCGCAATGTAGGAGCTGAAGTCTTGCGACAGGCCACTGTCCGCTGGCCACCGGTGCCATTGCAACATATGCAACACCCGATCTACTTTTAAAACATCTAGATGAAACATTTGCAATATGCGTCTAAAGACAGATGATACACTTAGCATGCATCTGAAATACTTGCAAAAACACTTGAAAACACATGAATAGTCATTGCAAAACATATGCAACATTCGGATAAAACACTTGCAACATATATGTAAAACATATGCAACATCCAAATAAACACACTTGCAACACGCATCTGGAAAAAAACAGATGAAACATTTTGAATAGACGCTTGCAACATACGTGTATAACAATTACAACATATGCAACATCCGATCTACTTTTGCAACATCTATATGAAACACTTATAACGTACCTCTGAAACATACGCGTGCAACATATGTTTTTCACCCTTTTTCGGGACGACGCAGAGCAGAGTGGGGGAACGGTTGGTTCCGGCCAGCCGGTGGCCAAGGATGGTGGCATAGCCTGGCAGCGGCCAGCTGCTCCTGCGCCTGGACTGGGCCCGGCTAGCGACGCCCCCCTCTCTTGTCCGCCTAGCCACATGCGGCACCCGGCGCCTATGCGGCTGCTATGGGGTTGGCTTGGCCAGCCAGCAACACCGGCGAGTGGCCAAAACCCAACGACGGTGAGGAGGCGTAGCGAGGGGCGAGGAGCGTAATGGCGTGGCAACTCGTAGCTCTGCTCTCCCCAACCATGGCGGAAGCAAGGCAGAGAAACGAAGAACAAGAGAGATATCGTTCAGGGTGTGCACCAGAGGGAGCAGGGGTGCGTCCTGAGCGAGGAGCGAGAGGCGGTGGTGGGGCACGACGGGCGAGGGTGAGGAGCGAGCGGCGTGGGATGGGGCGCGTAGTGGGGAAGCGCGACAGCACCGAGGCGGAGTGGGTGTGCAGTGTTCGGACGGACGGACGCCCGTGTCCTATCATTTATCGTATGTTTTTCTCTCCTAACTATGGCAACAATGTTTTTTAGGAGTGATTCGCAAAATGTTTCGGATAACCTAATTCTCGTTGTACTCCTTTGCCGACCATTTTGCGAGTGTTTTTATTTATCAAGCGAAGCACCAACGTCCAATGGTACGATGATAAAGTCTCATTTTTTAAAAAAAATTAGGAATTCTGGGATGGTGTCAACTTAGCAATTTAGCAATCACTCTAATATATTCCAAAAAAAAACAATCACTTTAATATAAGTGTCGTGGGTTGGGTTGTTACGTACTTACAGGCATCCACACCACTGCTGAGCCCATTGTTTGTTGAAAAAATAACGGACCTCAAACTTTGCGGCCCATTCGCTCAGGCTCCAGGTCTAGACCAAAAACTCATTTTACGTGAAGCCCAAACTCCTCCAGTAACATCACAAGCGACATTGTCCGCACTCCACCGAGAGCTCATTCGCTAGCATCGCTCCGGGCGCAGGCAGCCTCTCGGCTCCACGGACACCGAGCTGACGAGCTCAAGTGCCGGCGGCTCTAGGGTTTAGAAATGAGCCTTTTTCGTTAGAAAAAAAGTCTACTTCACCCCCTAACTATGGGGGTGGTCTACATAACCCCTCAACTATGAAACGGTCTGATTTACTCCTTAAACTTTTCAAAACCGTCTATTTACACCCAGGCGGTTTTCAGCGGCGGTTTTGCTACAGTAACAACGGGTTGCTACAGTGGCAGGGGTTTTGTCTTTTTTTTTTCTTATTTCCGCTGAATCTTTGAAAAATCATAGTAAATCACAGAAAAATTATAAAATGAAAAATCTAATTTTGTTGGACTCCACATGAGTAGATCTACACAGTGAACATATAGTATGGTACACTTTAGCACAAAACTTTTACTGTAGATTTATATTAATATGGTACACTACACCCATGTTACTGTAGCAAAACCGCCACTGAAAACCGCCTGGGGGGAAAATAGACGGTTTTAGAAAATTCAGGGGGTAAATCAGACCATTTCATAGTTGAGGGTGTTATGTAGACCACCCCATAGTTTGGGGGTGGAGTAGACTTTTTCCTTTTTCGTTATAAAAGATGGCCATGATCTATAAAAAAATTCGAACACATCTAGATGTCACTGTACTATTTTTTTTCTTCCACGCCGTTACGTTGTTTACCAGCCCTGTCTCCCCATCCCTCTGCACGTCCGCGCCTCAGCTCTGCGCCACGGGCCGCTTCTTCCCGTCCGCCCTACATCCGAGCTCGTCGCGCCGCCCCTCCCCTCGTCTTTGAGCTGCGCTCGCGCCGCCCATGATGGCTTGGTCCTTCAGCGTCCGCTTCCTCCCGGTAACCGCGGTCAACCTCCTGCTCCCACGGCCACCACAACATTCTCCGCGGAAGTGGCGGCGGGAGGGAGGACCAGTGGCTACGGTGACTGGTTGTGGTGCACGGCGGAGGTGGGTTTGGCGGCCCGGCTTCGGCCTCGGAAAAGGCGAGACGGAGAGCACGCTCAAGAGGATACGCGCGCAGACGCGCCCGTCGCGTCTTGGACGTGGACGACGCGCCACCGTCGCGGGCGCGCGTCGAGAGAGACCCACTGGCGAGACCGCGCCACCGAGGAGCAGCTCATCACGCCACGGCGCGCTTCGCCGCCGCCTCTGCAGCAGCCCTCGCGCCATGGACATGCCCGACATCTTGACCGCTCCCGCTCCCTACTCTCTCCGACGGCGCCCGCGAAGCTGCGCGCGCCCTGCGTCTCATGGCTGCTTGTGGGCGCGATCTCCTCGCGCAGGCCGGCAAATAGGACACGCGTCCGCCGCTGGTCGGCTGGCGCGCGCTTCGGGCCTAGGGTGCTAGGGCGGCGACGGTGGGGAGCCACGGAGGAGGGCCACTAGGCGCGGGCGGAGGCAAACCGTGGCGAGCCGGGCCGAGCCTCGCCGTGTGGTCGCGAGCGTAGTGGGGGACGCGGTCGTTGAGTCCGTGAGACGGAGGAGTAGGGCGCCCACCACGGCGGCTTGTCATGGGTGGTCGGCGTCCTTGCGAGCCTCGAGGAGGGAGAGGCGAGGCCGACGATGTTGGAGTGCACGTACAACGCGGGGTTCTCCGTGGCGAAGCGCCGCCGCTTTCGCGCCGTGAGGTGGAGCACGTGGGTGAAGGGCACGACGTCGAAGAGCTTGGCCAGAGGCGGCCGTCGTTGATGTCGCCCTCCACGACCGAATCGCCGCCGTGGGAGCCAAAGAATCGCGGCGGGCCTTCTTGAGGGACGGGTCGTGGTACGAGTTGAAGTTGTCGATGCCCACGACGCCGTCACAGCGCTTGTAGAGCGCCAACCAAGCAATCGTGTGCCCACGGCCGCGGTGCACGTGGACGAAACACAGACGACCCGCGCCCTCACGCGACCCGGGCCGCCGTGGCGGCGCCGCCGCGCTTCCGGATCTGGCGCTCCCGGTGACAGCCCCCCGAGATACCGCGAAGTAGCGGGAGGAGGTGTCGACGAAGGTGGGCGCTGTGCGTGGCCGTCATGGCCACCGTGAAGAGCGCCACAGAACATGGTCCCCTCCCGCACGCGTGTCTTTGAGGAGCCCAGTGGCGGGGTGCTCCCATGCAGTGGTGGAGCGGCCATGGTGGGGTGGGCGCGTCCGGGGAAGGCGCCGCGACCTTGGCCGAACCGGGATCGAAGGGGAAGAAGATGGCGGTGTCCTCGGTGGATGCCCGCTCCGGGCGTCGCCGTTGGAGCTCTCCTAGGGCTAGGACGCGCTGACCATGGTGAGAATCTGCGGTAGCGGCCGGGGTAAAGGCGCGCAGAGGGCTTGGGGGTGGCGGGGCCCTCTTCGAGCTTGCGTGGCGGCAGTGTGAGGGCAGCAGCGACCGCCCGCCGGCCAGAGCACGACCACCAAAGATCGGCTATAGGGAAGAGAACAGAAAGAGGAAGGTTTGGGTGGCTAATGGGCCCCCGCAAATGGTCATTTTATCTATTTGAAAGCGTTAGAGGTAAAACTAGACGGAATGGCGTGGAAGGCAAAAATAAATTTATCACAATGGTACTTAGATGTGTTCGAACTTGTTAGACCATCTTTTATAAGGGCAACGTATCAGGTGCAAATCAACTAACCTGTACAAACTTGAAAACTGTCAATCCAGACCACTAGATCCTGATCAATAAATAGAGTGAGAGATGGGATTTTTTTTGCGCTTAAGCCCCCCACTCACCGTCTTTTTTTTTACGTTTAAGTTCTCTCACCTCATCTATTAGATCAGCATCCAGTGGTTCTGATCGGTTGATTTGCACATAATATATTGCCCTTTTATAACGGCGTACAGATAAAAGGCTCTTTAGAAATCCCCCAAATCCTCGTTTCGATTCGAATTCGATCTTCAGCCTCGGCATCGCCCTGCGCCGGCGCCGTCGACCACGGCGATCTCCTGGTAAGCTCCCTTTGCCTCCCCATTGCTGCATTTTCCCCCAACATCCCCTCACACCTCCATCTCGCTCGGTCCTTGCTTTTCACAGAGATTGCTCTCGGGGGAGGCATGGAGGGCTGCTCCAAGACGAGCGGCGGCGCGGTGTCCGGTGTCCCTGACGACCCCTGGTGGAGATCCTCTCCCGTGTCCCTGCCAAGTCCGTCTACCGCTTCAAGTGCGTGTCCAAGGTCTGGCGCGACCTCATCGCCGACCCTGACAACCGTAAGAAGCTGCCCCCAAGCCAAGGACTGTTCGTCGAGACGTCCGAGGTCTCCGAGGTTGACGATGATGAATCGGATGTATTGGAGCGTATCAGTTTTAGTTTCATAGACCTGACGGAAATGACTGGGATCAAGACCTTCATCTTGGATTCCTGCAACGGGCTTATCCTTTTCGGGCATCGTCAGGAGCCATCTGATCCCCTTTACTATACCGTGTGCAACCCAACCACAAAGGTGTGCAACCCAACCACAAAGCAATGGTCAGTCGTCTACACCTATTTGGCTTTCGCTCCGGCCTTGTCCTCTCACTTTCACTTGGTCCAATTCCAGATGCCCGATCTGTACGAGGAGATAGTGGCGTTGCATGTTTACTCATCTGAAACTGGGACCTGGAGTCAAAACCAAATTGATGAACAAAAAGAGCAAGGGCAGTTGGAAGGCTGGCATCATCAGTTTACACTAGACAGGGAGACTCTCAACCATCTTTGTGCCTTTGTTAATGGCTTCCTACATGTGATTGTTAGTCACTCAGATCTACAGCACATACTTGTTGTAGATGTACAAGGGAAGGCAAGAAGGATGATCCCTGTGCCGGGTATGGCTGATGGGAGGCCCGGGCACGCCTTTGTTTGTTATTTAGGTCAGTCCAAAGGGCACCTACATTGTGTGACTAAAAAGAATGAAAAACTATCCACCGGGGTTCTTCAGGATTATGATACACATGAATGGGTGTTGAAGAACACTGTGAACTCTTTGGATGTCTTTGGAGAAACAGGACGCTTCTTAGAGTTTCAAGTGGTTGACATTCATCAAGACTGTAATGTGGTTTTCTTTCTTCATGACTACTGTAAGCTGACAGCATACGACATGGACCGTAAGGAAGCGAGTGTCGTTGCGACTTTCAAAGAGGACAAAGACCAGTGCGATTTTGCTCGTTACGTTCCCTATTTCTTAGAATCACCGGATCTCACAAATAAGCACTGAAAATGTGTGCTCTAAGTATGAGCTAGCAGCTTGGTTAAATTCCAATAGACTCAGGTGAAATGTTATGCTTGTGCTTGGATGTATGCCTTCTTAATTAGTACTGCAAGCCTGTTGAGACATTGGATGTATGCCTTCTCATGCTTTTGATCTTATTAGTACTGAAAGCCTATTGAGACATTTATGTAGTGTACCTTTATGGATGCTAGTTATATTAATGAATGTTGTTGCACTAGTTGAACAATTTCGATTTTTGGTGATAAGTTTTATGATTAGCATGTTTTTTCGTGGCTGTGTTAATGAGCAATTATTTACTGTGAATTTAGTTTCTTTGGCCGTGTGTTTATTTATGTCAGTCAAACCAAAATTATCTTCCATATTTTGCTAATGTTGCATGTATGGAATTGTTTCAAATTGAAGGCTTGCGGTTACATCAAAAGTTTAGAACCAAAAAGTCTTATTTATGCTTGAGAGGTAATCTCTTTGGAGGAAACTTACACAGTTTCAAATGTGATATGTGCAATTAATTGTCATATGGACATGCCACATCTTATCTTCCTAATAGAACATCAGTTGTAGTGTTGCTAGAGGCATTCACAAGGAACTTTGATCCAACCGGATCTGCCTGAAAGAAAGGTTAGTTCTCTCCTAGAGAAGTACAATGTTGGCTCTAGCCTATGTCCAGTTCCCTGGCGCCTGCGACACTCAAGGGGTGTCCAAACTCACTATCTGCCGAGGCTCTCCTAAGTTTGCATTTGTATACTGTGGAAGGGTTGCAGCTGCTCACTGTCGTGTCTCCAATGTTGATAGACCTACGAATCTTTAAATGCTTCTTCGAGAGGCAGCCAGTGGTTGACATCGTTGCTCCTAGTCTGCAAACGATCGATTGGGCTGATGGATATGATCCAAGCTCGGTCCAGCTTGGTGAGCTGGCACAGCTACGGATACTGTCAACCTTATGCTTTGCAGATGCATTGCCTGAGTGTCAGTACAAATGGGGCATTGTGATGTTATTGCGGCGCTTTTGGAAGATCCCTGCTCTTTTCATTACGATCATCTATCCAAATGTGAGTATACTGTATATGCAATTTGTAATTGGCATATATTTGTGTAATTTTGTGGAAAATTTGTTTTTTGCAATTCTGTCTATACATGGCATGAATTCATTGCTGCAATTGACTAACACCAAAGGATATCCCTCTCTTATGCAAATTTTGCATATGTTGTTCAGAATTCCACTTTCAAAATGACCGCAAATCGAAATGATTTCTGCTTTCTTATGCTTTTCTTATTGTCAATAGCCATCGACAAGTTTGTTGAGAAGTTAGCCCACCTTATGTCTATGCACCTCATCTCAGGAACAAACTGCTTGTTCGCTGGGTTGTATTTGTCATCAGCCGCAAGACTGGAAAACTGAAGAGCTCTGCTTGAATTCTCTCCAGGAGTTGCATATTTGTGGATTGAGCGGTGCAGATCATGATCTTGCATTTGTGAAACAACTATTGGGATGGACACCAGTGCTCAAAACAGTTACTATAAATTTTGATCCTTCGGTCACTGATGAGGAGCTTTGAAAGGAGCTACATGACCTCTCTAGGCCAGAGACTTGCATGGAGTTTTACCTATATCGTAATGCGGTGAAGGACAAGGTACCAGTAGGCTAGGGGAGCTTAAAGGGACGTGTCTTGCTGAGAAAGAGCCATGGCTGTAGCTTAGTGGGTATCCAACAGCTTTACCACTGTTCAAGTGTGGGCTATGTGGCTCGTGATAAAACAAAGCTTCCCTATGACATGCACTAATTGCTACTTCCCTGGTGTGCCTTGTTTAGTCTGTGATTGCATTTGCTAATTTAACCTTAGTAAATTATTCAGGGATTAACTTCTGTTTAAGAGCTTCAAATGGAGCTTATCGTGATTCGTGAATTCTGGAGCCGTACGGCCACTTGTCTAGGATGTTTGTATGGATACTGTGTTGCACTGAAGAGTTGTTATGGGACTCTCTCTGAATGAAACAAGATTTTTACCCTGACTATTCGTTAGAAGATGATTTCCAGCTGGTTTCTATATTCCAGAAACTGAACAGAGAAGTGCACTAGATTCGCTGCATATAAATAAGCAATGAGATGTGAGAATAAGCGACACAAAAGAACAGATCTGTTTCAGAATTTCAACAGTACAGGTACAACTGAGGGACTCTTAAGTTGGGTTCCATGAGCACGAAAAACTTTTTTTAGCAATACTGCGTATGCCATTTTCCATAATATATCATGGTAATGAAGCTAGTTTAAGAAACCTTGCAGGGCTGTTGCCGCAGCAAGTCAGCAACTACCAACATGTGCGATCTTGTTGTGGTTATTCATGACTCAGTTTGGCTGTGGATGATCTTATTCTTATCGATATCGATGTTACAGTGTGATTGCAGCAGACCATTATATTAGGTTTGCTTCCTTCCCCTAATTTTCTGCTCCACAGGTCTTGAAATCACTGAAAAAGAACCCAGCAAATGTGCTTCTAAATTTTTTAGCCACTCAGGAAACTTATTGATTTACAAATTGTTTTTTAAACTATTGCAGTGCTTTAAGAAGCTAAGATTTTTGTCAGTTGTGAGTTGAGTTAAGTTGGGCCAGGCGAGTTGGTTTTACACCAAAATGATCTGGCCTTTTTCCAGTACAGCCCGGCCTGGAAATGAGATCTTTTTTTTTTCCCGACGAGAAATACTCTCTGAGCTCTTGTGTACTGGTGGCGAACTGGCTGGCCTCCGTTCAAAACCAAAAACCCCCAACACTCAGATTTCGTCGGCGACCAACACAGAAATCTCGAACGCCGGGAGAAACCCAACACAACCCTCCCTCCCCCATATCTCGCCGGCGGCGTTGAATTGACGATGTGTGACATCTGGGAGGAATTCCGGTCGGCGCTCTGCATATCCGGGGGAAACCGCCGCACGCCCCCAACCCTCCCTCCCCCAGATCTCGCCGGCGGCGGTGACGAAGGTGGTGGCCGCGGCGAGGGGGAGGACCGCCTCAGCGCGCTACCCGACGACGTCCTCCTCTTCATCCTCAGCCACCTCCCGTCCGCCGCCGCCGCCGCGCGGACCAGCGTCCTCTCCCGCCGCTGGCGCCGCCTCTGGGCGCAGCTCCCGGTGCTGTTGTTCCCGCCGCCTGCCGAACCGGCCCTCGCGCTGCCCTCGCCCGCTACCGCCGCGCGGTCCAGGGTTCGCTCCCACCGCTGGCGCCGCCTCTTGACGCATTTGCCAGCGCTGCGTTCCCCGCTCCCCGCCGAACCAGCCCGCGCGCTGCCCTCGCCTGCCTCCGCGCGCGCGGCGCTCGCCCAACACTCGCCCCCCTCGCTGTGGATGCTGAGCGTCGTCGCCAACGACGCCGACCCTGCGGACACGGCCGCGGTACTCCGCCTCGCCGCGCCCCGCCTCACCAACGCGCTCTTTTTCCGCAACGAGGTACCTGAGGATCGGAAGAAGGTCCTGGCAAGAGAAGCCATTGAGCTGCCCTGCTTCGACGGGGCCGTACAGCTTTTCGTCCACTTAGGTTACCTTCACCTCGCACTTCCACCGTCGGGTGTGTTCACGAAGCTTACTGTGCTAGTTCTGAGCCACGGTTCCAAGGCGCCTTGGACATCGGCGATACCTTGTCGTCGGCCCGCTGCCCTTCGCTGCAACTACTCCATCTCTTCGACGCTCAAGGGGTGTCGAATCTTGGTATCTGTTCAGAGTTTCTCGTCAGTATGTTTTGCATAACCTGAAAGGGTTACAGCATCTCACGGTTGTGTCGCCAATGCTGAGAGATCTGCATATCTTTAATTGCTTCTTCAAGAGGCAACCAGTGGCTGGCATCACTGCTCCAGTGGCTGACATCACTGCTCCGGTTCTGGAAAGGTTCGGGTGCCTTGATGAATATGATCCGAGGTGGGTCCAGCTGGGTGAGCTGGCGCAGCTACGGGTCCTGGCGACCTCCTTTGCAGGTGCATGGTATGGGTTGACTGAACATCAGTACAATTGGGGCATTGTGAAGTTATTGCAGCGCTTTAAGAAGATCCCTGATCTTCACATTACGATCTTCTATCCAATTGTGAGTATATGCCCGTTATCATGGATTTCAAACTGTACTTAAATATTGCTGAGTACAACCTTCCGGTAACTGCATGTTTGTAACAGAAACTACTTTGTAGTAGTACCAATTGCTAGATCTTAATGTAAATGTCATCAAGCAACTGACTAATCAATAAAATGACTAGTGAAAGGACCTTCAGTTGTAGGTACAATTGTACAAGCATCACGTGTATTGTTATGCTCACTTTTCTAACACTTGCCATATATGGGCATGAATTCAAGCATCGGATGTATACATGCATTTAACTATTTCATCTGGCAAACAAATGAATTGGGGTTTTTGGATCCCACCTCAAGACAAATGGACTGAATCTGCAGGGCACTTACATTCTTTAGCTAATTTATAGAACAGAGAAAATAAAAAAATGTATAATTCCACTGCCCTGTCAATAAATAAAGTCTTTATCAGGAATTCAGGATCAGTAGTTGAGAAGATTGCCAAATTACTCTTATATCCTGTCTTTATCACGATCAGTAGTTGAGAAGATTGTATTGATGTTGGTACCGTGCATCATGGTGTGACAACATGCCAATAATTGAAAATCATGCTAGATGACAACTCTGCCATATTTTGCCTTGAATGTTTTGTTTTGTTTTGGTAATTGAAATAAGTTTCCTTACCAAATGGTGAATGAGTTGAAAGGAAATGAGTTCAGTAGGATATTTAGTTATCAGCATGGGTAGATACAACAACAAAGCTTTTTAGTTCGAAGCAGTTGAGATACGCTAGATATTAAACCCAATAAAATATCCAACCACTAAATAATAATAAGGTATAAATAATAGTTATAATGGTAAAATTTCCATGTATTCTTATTCATGGATAATATTTTGGGGGATATTCTGTCAAGTATCTCTTTACAAACTCTTCTCATGTTAGATTTTGGTAGAGGTTGAAGCCTGCCTCTCTTTACATTATTTTGGCCCGACTCAAAACTACTTTTACATGAAGCCAGCCAGCCGTTTCTCAAAAAAAAAAGAAAAAAGAAAAAAGGAAGCCAGCCAGCCAGCCTCATTTGTCCGCACTCCACCGAGAGCTTATTTGCTCGCTCCGGCCGCAACCAGCCTCTCCGATCCACAGACACTGGGCGGACGCGCTCACGTGCGGGCGGTTCTAGGGTTTAGAAATCCCCCAAATCAATCGAATTCGATCTTCAGCCTCGGCACCGCCCTGTGCCGGCGCCGTCGATCACGGCCATCTCCGGTGTCTGGTAAGCCCCTTTGCCTCACCATTGTTGCATTTTTTTTTCTGTCACATCCCCTCACACCTCCATCTCGCTCGGTCCCCGCTTTTCACATATTGCTCACGGAGGGAGGCATGGAGGGCACCGAGGGCTCATTTGCTCGCTCCGGCCACAGCCAGCCTCTCCACTCCATGGACAATGAGCTGACGACTAGGGTTTAGAAATCCCCCAAACCCCCATTCGATCATCATCCTCGGCACCGCCTTGCGCCGGCGCCCTCGATCACGGCCATCTCCGGTGTCTGGTAAGCCCCCTTTTCCTCCCCATTGTTGCATTTTCCCACTCACATCCCCTCACACCTACATCTGGCTCGGTCCCTGCTTTTCACACAGATAGCTCTCGGAGGGAAGCATGGAGGGCTGCTCCAAGAAGAGCGACGGCACTGTGCCCGGCCTCCCTGACGACCCCCTGATAGAGATCCTCTCCCACGTCCCGGCCAAGTCCGTCTGCCGGTTCAAGTGCGTGTCCAAGGCCTGGCACGACCTCATCACCGACCCTGACAACCGTAAGAAGCTGCCCCAAGCCATGCAAGGACTGTTCGTCGAGACGGCCGACTCCGAGGTTGATGACACTAAATTGGCCAGTATCAGTTTCAGTTTCATCGACCTGACAGTGAGATCCGTGCCTATGGACATCGACCCTTCCTTCTCCTTCCTGATGGAACGGACTGGGATCAAGACCTTCTTCTTCTTGGATTCCTGCAACGGGCTTATCCTTTTCGGGCACCGTCAGGAGCCGTCTTACCTATCGGCGGGTACCTATATGGTGTGCAACCCGACCACAAAGCAATGGTCAGCCGTGCCCGCTTGCGGCTCTCGTGAAGCGCTAAGTCACACCTATTTGGCTTTTGATCCGGCGGTATCCTCTCACTTTCACTTGGTCCAGTTCCAGATGCCCGATGTGGACATGGAGATAGTGTCGTTGCATGTTTACTCGTCTGAAAATGGGACCTGGAGCCAAAACCAAATTGATGAACAAAAAGAGCAAGGACAGTTGGAAGGCTGGCATCATCAGTTCACACTAGAGGTTCTCGACTTTCGTTGCGCCTTTGTTAATGGCTTCCTACATTTGATAGTTTGGGGCCCAGATAGACAGCACATACTTGTTGTAGATATACAAGGGGAGGCAAGAAGGATGATCACTGTGCCAGGTATGGCTGATGGGAACCAAACGCACAACATTACATGTTATTTAGGTCAATCCCAAGGGCACCTACATTGCGTGACTGTAGAGTCTGCTGATGAAAATAATGACAAACTATCCATCTGGGTTCTTCAGAATTATGATACACAGGAATGGGTGTTGAAGAACACTATGGACTTGGACTCTTTTGATGTCTTTGGAGAAACAGAAGACTTGAACGAGTTTCAAGTGGTTGACATTCATCAAGACTGTAATGTGGTTTTCTTTCTTCAGGAGTCTTGTAAGCTGACAACATACGACATGGACCGTAAGGAAGTGAGTGTCATTGCCACTTTCAAAGATCGCAAAGACCCGTGTGATTTTGCTCGTTACGTTCCCTATTTCTCAGAATCATCAGATCTCACAAATAAGTACTGAAAGTGTGTGCTCTAAGTATGAGCTAGCAGCTTGGTTAAATTCCAGTAGACTCCGGTGAAATGTTCTGGTTGTGCTTGGATGTATGCCTTCTTAATTAGTAGTGCAAGCCTGTTGAGACATTGGATGTATGCCTTCTCATGCTTTTGTCTAATTAGTACTGCAAACCTGTTTGGATATTTATGTAGTGTAGTAGTGTACCTTTATGGATGCTAGTTATATTAATGAATGCTTATGCGCAACTTGGAACAATTTTGATTTTTGGTGATAAGTTTTATGATTAGCATGTTTTTTTCGTGGCTGTGTTAATGAGCAATTATTTACTGTGAATTTAGTTTCTTTGGCCGTGTGTTTATTTATGTCAATCAAATAAAAGTTATCTTCCATATTTTGCTAATGTGTTGCATGTATGGAATCATTTCAAATTGAAGGCTTGTGGTTACATCAAAAGTTTAGAACCCAAAAGTCTTATTTAGGCTAGAGAAAAAACAGATGTGCTGGACAGGTAATCTCTTTGGAGGAAACTTGTATAGTTTTAAATGTAATATGTGCAATTAACTGTCATGTAGACATGCCACATCTTATCTTCCTAATAGGACATCAGTTGTAATGTTGGTAATGGTAGAGGCATTCCCAAGGCACATTGATCCAACCGGATCTGCTTGGAAGAATTGTATACTCCGGGTCTGCCTGGAAGAAGGTTTAGTTCTCTCCAAGAGAAGTATAATGTTGGACCTACCCGATGCTGAGAGACAGCTATGTGCCTATTTCTAAATGTCATGAAACCCTGAGAAAAACTGTATTTCTAAATGTCAATTGTTTTCTTTCCATGAATCAATAGTTGAGCTTGTGCTTTCATGACAACTTATGACATGTTCTTTCTTCAAGTGGGATTCAGATTTAAATCTGTATTGAAGTTCTGAAAAATGTCCTGTGTCGGGAGCTAGCTGTCAGCTCCTTGCTGAAACCTGTAAATTGACTCCAATTGGCTGCTTGTTCTTCCTTGGAAAATAGCTGAGCATATTCGTTGAGATCAGCAAGGTCATTACCTCGCTGGAGCATGTCAAGAGCTTTCTACTCTGAAATAATCTTCGAAACTGACTCCAATTTAGATTAAAAATAACCAAGAAAATATGGTGTAACAGTGTAAAGATAATAGACAATAGAGGACTCGAGGATCGAAGGGCTCCAAGTGCCAAGACCTAGGTGATGCCGTAGTTTGGCTCCCCTGATCACAGCTTAGAAATGTATACCATTCCATAACACTTGTTCAAATGTAATTATTTGAAATTTTTGTCACAGCTGGGAAGGAAAATAGAATTTAGCATAGAACTAGAAAGCAACGCGCGGCGTTGCCGCACCTGCGTAGAGTGCCTACCATTTCAAGCTAGTTGGGTCATGTATTAGCATTTCTCTGATCTCGTTGGTTGCTTCTTTTTTATGAACCATTGATGCATATTTTGTGAACTTGACCACTGTAATAGAACTGATATTAGGTAATTCGTCATGGAAAAACATTAGTGGATGTAGTAGTCGATTGTACTTTGATAGATCATCGTCACATTTATTGGATATGAAACGGCCTTGTAAATATCTCTGTAATACTAATCCTGAGCCAAAACTCAGGTGTACCCGATGTCCTTGTCGCCCATTAACCAGCTAGCCATCGGTCTCATCCATTAAGGCGGTGTTTGTATCCGGTCACTAAAATTTAGAAGGTGTGTTGGAAGAATGTTGTATGAAGTGTTCGGATACTAATAAAAAAATAAATTACATAATCCGTTAGTACTCCACGAGATGAATCTTTTAAGCCTAATTAATTCGTCATTAGCACATGGTTACTGTAGCACCACATTGTCAAATCATAGACTAATTAGACTTAAAAGATTCGTCTCGCAAATTAGTTGCAAACTATACAATTAGTTTCGTAATTAATCTATATTTAATACTCTATGCACGTGTCAGACATTCGATGGGACAGCGACTAAAATTTAGGAGGGCAACCAAACACCACCTAAGTCACGAGCACGGGCTCTTACACAGGGAGCTATTTTTTAACAACTAAGACTGACTCCAACAGCGTTGGCAAACCGTGACCCATCCCCAAAATAGGTACTACACAGTGTTTTTGCGGTAGGAAAACACCCTCCAACGGACTACCCAATCATGGAATGCATTTTGCGTCGGAGGCAACACGGTAGGCAAACTTGCGTCCTCTCTCCGTCGTTTTGCGTCTCCTCTCCGTCCCTTTCCTCGGCCGCAGCAACAGCACGCGAGCTCCCTCCCCTCCAGCCGCAGCAGCATACGGCGGTCCCTCCTCCTCCCATGGCGAGGCGCGGCCCCTCCTCCTCCCTCTGACCGAGCATCCGGCGGTCCCTCCTCCGGCAGCGCTCCCACGGCGAGATCCGGCGGCGGCGAGCTCCCTCCCCTCTCCCAGCGTGAGATCCGGCGGCGGCGGGCTCCCTCCACCTCGGCCATGGCGAGATCCGGTGGCGGCAGGCTCCCTCCCCTCTTCAACGGCGAGATCCGGTGGCAGTGGGCTCCCTCCCCCCTCCCACGGCGAGATCCGGTAGTGGTGGGCCCGTCGGAGCCGCAGTGGCGCAGCGCCCTGCCCCGCGCTGCGGCCCACCTCCCCGCCGGCGCGCTCGACAAGCTTGCCCCGGCGCGCGGCCCGCCTCCACCTCGGCCACGCCATCCTCCTCACCTCCGCCATCTCCCTCCTCTGCACGGGATGGAGCGCGCGGGCGCGTTCCGCCTCTCAGGCGGCGACCTGCCAGCTGCAGCGGCCCGCCTCCACCTCGGCGCGGCGGACCACCACCACCTCCGCGCGTTGCCCTGCTCCGGTGCGGCGAGGAGGAGGCAGGGGTGCGCGGATCTGGGCCCCGCCGCCGCTCACCCTGGCCGGCGAGGCGAGCCGACCCCAGAGCAGCTTTGGGTCGTCCGTTGGAGAGGATGAATTTTGGGTGTGGATTTTTTTTACTGTGCATCACCTAAATCTGAGAAATGGGTGTTGTGTTTAGGTTGTATTGTTGGAGTCAGTCTAACATGGGAATAGCCAACCAAGGTATCTGCAGTAGAAGAGTACAAGCATGTTATAAAAGACAGGAAATGGCCGCTGATAAATTTGAAATTGAAAGGAACCGTTCGATTCAAAGAGTATGTTGCTGGGAAAACCCTCGATGTTAACTTCAACTCTTCTCTTCCAATAGCGAAGTATACAATTGTGAGGCATACACAACAAATATGGTTGGAGCAAATTAAATCCAAGCCACTAATAAGAAGACAAAATGGGGAACATGCATTTGGAAGTTCGAGGAACGGTGATTTAAATGTCTTTTATTTTTGCTAGATGCTACGGGGACAGGAACATGTTTCGTTTTAAAATAATAGACTGACAAATGATTGAATAGGGATAGGTGCGGACTCTGTATATAAATAAAAAATGCACTGCCACATATACTAAACCACCTTAATATAAATACATACGTAGGCTGACAGTTCTTGGTGTTTTGTGGATATGAATGTTGTTCTCAAATGTTGCAGCCCAGACATCTCTCTTTGTTACGAAGCTAGAATGTACATGAAGTAGCTTCTATAGTGTTCAAACAATGCTCATATTGTTAGGTATTTTGTCATGTATTTGGCTCAAGTATCAATGTAAAAATAATATTCAGAGAATCAGAACACTGAAGACCATGAATGGACATATCAACATAAGATACTACTTCAGATCATATGACCTCGATATTTTAGCTCTTTATAGCATAATCAGGTATTATTTGGATATAAGAAAAATGTAGGTAAAGGAAGCATTCAGAGAATTTCAAGGATCATGTGTATTTACATATGCTGTTTTGGTTACCATACTCTTAAATCAAATTCCTTACATGTAGAAATTGCCATAAAAATCAAAAACATGAATTTGTCACATATCTATTTCAAGCTATTGATGGAAAGCACGTTGTGAAGTAAAGTGTTAGGCAAACTGAAAAATAAAAACAAATGAATTAACAAAGCAATTAATTAGGCCATTGTTGATATTCCCATCTCATTCACCTCTGAATTTCGTAGCGGCTATACAAAAAATTTGGAGGAATTTTATTAATGAAAATGGTAATTAGGCCTTAGCAGTCTATTCATATCAAGAGATTTTAGCACTGAGTTGTCATAACTCCCTCGAGGAAATAATTACAGCAGGGATAATCCTACTATTACCTCTTCATCACCCCAGAGAAGTGGTAGGAAGGCGTCTGCCTCCATCACTTGTATCTAGCTCAGCTGCCCTGTTTTCTGAGCATCCCGAATACCCCTGTTTTCTGAGCATCCCGAATACCCCAGCTGTACAGCAAGGCAAATCATTCTCCAACATCCGCTTGGAACTTGGTGGTGTTAATAAATAAAAAACGCACCTGACGGTGACGGCCCACAAGTCCACAGCCCAACAAAAATCTAACTGGGGGCAGCAGGTTGCTCTGACCGAATGATTGGCTCCGATAGGCGGCCCTTTCTGTCCCGATGCGACCTTTCGCCCGTCTCAAATCTAAGTGGGCCGGTCCATAAACGGCCCATCCAGCCGACGGCGATCATGACCCAGCGCGCATTCTAAACCTCTGCCCCGGGGCTACTAGGGTTTCCTCCCAGCCGTCATCGCTTCGCGTCCGTCTCAGACCGCCGCCAGGAGAGGTAAGGTAAGCCACGCACCGCCGCCGCCCTCCTCCCGCCCCATTTCGTCCGGTCGTCGTGCTGGGTAGCGCTGGCTCGGTCGCTTCGTGGAAGCGATTGGATCTGCTCTGTGCGCGCTTGTTTTCGGTCGGTTTGCCGGCGGGAGTTGTCTCGCGAGGTGTAGCTCGGGCGTCAGTCTCTCTTCAGACTCGTAGATTTCGTGTATATGTTCTTATCGATAAATTTTGCTGTTAATATTGAGAAGGTTTTGCGACGAGTCTCTTTGACCTTAGTACGCGATAGTATGGGGTCATGATATGTAGGGATGCTGTCTATTAGCC